CATCAACATCGCATCCATCATTGTCACCGTCATCCCCCCATCGCCGTCATCATCGCCATCATCGCCGTCGCCGCCATTATCGTCACCAATGGTGACGATAATGGCGGCGAGCGGTCCTTGAGGAGACACTTGATCACGTCTTTGATGGCCTCGTGCTGCTTGCGCTGCACCTGGGTGGACGCCGCCATCTTGTCGACGGGCGGCGCCTGGGAGGGGCGGGGGGGGGGGGGCTCGCGAGGCGGGGGGGGGGGCGGGGCGCGGGGGGTGAGGAGGGGGCATCCTCGCTCCAAATCGCAAATCATCCTCCTCTCCCCCTCCTCTCACTCCCCCCCCCCCCCCCCCCCCATCCCCCCCGCCCAAGCAGCGCCCTCTACGGAGAGGGCGCCTTGTCCTGTAGGACAAGGCAAAGCGCCCGCATCTCCGGCGACACCTTGGCCTGCTTCGCGCCCACCACCATTGCGGCGCGAGGGAGAGGCGAGGGACGGGCGGCGCCCGCCCGCACTGGGCGGCGGCTCGAGGGCCAGGGAGAGGCGACGACGATGAGATGACGACTGCGACGACGATGATGACGGAAGAAAAGGGCGGGATGAAACGAGAGGAAGCCCTCTAGGGGGGAAAGCCATGCTTCTTCCCCATCCTCCCTCCTCGCTCTTCCCATCCTGCCTTCCTCCCCCCAACCCTTCCCTACCGTCAACCCTTCCCGTCGTTCGCCCCTCCCCCCCCCTCCCCTCGCCCCCATCATTCGCTCCCCCCCTCCCTCCCCCCTTCATCCTTTCCCTCGCGCCTTCCCCCCCCCCCCACCCTACGCAAAAAAAATCCCCAGGGCAAATTCCCCCCGCCCCAGGGCGGGATCGGGGGTGGGGGTCTGTTTTCGGGTTATGACAGGCTGCCCAGATTCTCCTGCAGCAGCATCTTCAGAATACGACCGAGCTCGAACGGGCGGTGGTGCCGCAGCGGTCGCCTCGCTCCACTGGGCCCGCGCCTCGCCGCCCGGAGCGCGCGCCTGCGCGCCACCTAGCAAGCGCTCTCCTCCAGCGGCGGGCCGGCGGCCGCTTCCGCGGCGGGCCCGTGCAGCGCGGGGTCGATCCGCGTGCTTCGCGCCGACGTCCGCCTCGTTGGCGCAGTGCCCTTGGGACGGCGTCAACGCGGCCTCCAAGGGGCGCGCCCGCCTGGGCGGGCTGCTGCTGCTCCGCGGCCACGGTCTCGGCCCGTGCCGCCACGGCAGGCGCTGCACCCGCGGCCCTGCGGCCAGGCCTCGGACGCCGGCCGCCTCTGGTCGAGCAGCCGCGCCTCGAGGTCGGTCGCCAGCTGGGCTCGGATCGGCGTCTCCGCTGCGCCAGGGCGCGGGCTATCGCCCCGCGCGTTTCGCGCCAGAACTGGCGACGGCGGGCCGCGGCCCGGAGACGGCGACCGCGCGGCGACCGCGCCGCTCCGACTGAGGGCGCCCCTCCTGTCGAGGCCTGCGCCGTCGCCCCGCGGGCTCCTGGAGCGGCCGCCGCCGCGTCGGCTGCTACTGGCTGCGTCGCCCCGCCCGGCCGGGGGCACAGCGGCTGGCCTGGGCTCCCTCGCCGGCGGCCGCCTCGCCTCTGCCTCCAGCAGTCGCGCCTCGCCGGGCTCGGCTCGCGACGCGCAGGCGCGACGCTCTCCTCCTCGGGTCAGCGGCGGCTCTGGGCCCGTGAGCCTCGAGCCTGTGGCGGAGCATCGCCACCTTCCTTGCCGTCTCCTGTTCGGCCCAGGAGGCCAGGG